TGAATTGAAGTTGTGTACACTTTCATTTCGTCCGTAAGTGCATGAAGAAGAGATTCGACGTTCGATCTCACCAGAAGACGATGGCCAACGGTTGCACTACAACGCGAATAAGGCGTCGTCTTCTGGTGAGATCAACTTACAAATTATTTCTTTATGAACTTTCCCACGAAGTGAAAGTCTCTGCAACAATGTTGTCCCAAGAGATTCTTTGAAATCCAATTACACTTTGTGTGAATTGAAGTATTAAATAACTTAAAGACAATTGGATGTTGAAATCAAAGGTTGAATTAATGCCTAATTGGAAGAATGAATGAATGGAAAATAGTCGATGCCTCAAGTATGAATGAGTTATGGCGTGAAAAGATAGGCCTGGGTATGACTGGATGGCTGAATTAATGTAGGCTGGAATCAAATTTACACCAAACTGGGCAGCATGTGTAAGCTTGTGCTGCAATCATTTGTTAGTTGGTGTCACGCATAGTTGCCATCGCAACGAGTTGGTGCCGCAGGTCAAAATGCTCGGTATTTCATAGGCCACCAAGTCAATCCGGACGTGGGTCCCAGCCTCAGAAGAAAAGGGTTAAGAGCAAAAACTGACCTATCGTGGTTTTATTTCCCATCGGCAATTCTGTGAATGGCCCCTTAGTCATTTAGGGAGCTTTACTGACTGACAGCAAAGTTATCCACAATGAATTCGGCACTGACAGTATGAAAAACTACTCATTTGGTAAATGAGTAGAGGCGGCCAAGTCAATTTGGTCAGTTGCATCATGTCTTTTGGGGAGAATTCCCAGCCGACTTACTAAAAAGTGTCCTGTCTTCTTCGTCGTGACAGGCTTTCCCGCCAGACGGCCGACGAGGAGCGTCGGGCCTCGGGCAAAAAACGCACTCCAACAAGACCCCAACTCGACGCTGCCCGCGAGGTTGTTGCGCTTCAACTCGTCTGCCGCCTCGTTGGGCCACTGCTTGAATGGCTGCGAGTATCTACGCGCTGTCACCATGCCAACAGGTGCTTCTACTGGCTCGTTGGACTCGGCCAAGCCGAGAGGGGCGGCTGACGCGTCGACGTCGGGGAGCAGACGAAGCCCTGCCTCATCGAGTCAAGACGCATTCTCTCGACAAACCGAGCTCAAACGCGTCGTGGGCAGAAACGCCAACGTTCCGGCATCGGCTGCCGCCGGAAAGGAGGCAAGAAAGCCCAGCTCAAAGTCCTTCCGACTGCGACACTTCAGTCAGGAGCAAAAGCAGCAGCAGCGGGACTCGGACTCGCGAAACCACGTCCCTGCCTCCGGGTTTCAGGAGCGCCGTCGTCTCCGAGACGAATAGGTGGACGACGAACGTGGCAATTATGGGAGAAAAGCAGGAAAAGCTGCGGGTAAAATGTACACTTTGTCATTGAAATCCGAAGTCCGGATGCTGGTCGACAGTGGCACCAACGGTCTTAGACTCCTTTCGAGGACTCAATCGGCCACCTTCGAGATCTGACGTATCAACTACGCTTGGCCAGAATTCAAGAAACGTCTCCAGCCTTAAATAGCATATTCACCACAGAAGCACTTACTACTTATTTCTTTTAAGTATATATATATATATATATATATATATATA